GTAAAGCTAAATTTTCTTAAACAGCTCAAGTTCCTTTCCGAATGAAAGACCAATCAGTATATTTTCCGAATGAAAATATCAAATTATGAAAAAGACCAATCAGTATAATATGCTTAATTACTCTTTTAAATCGGAGTTAGTAGATTTCTTTTTTTTTTTAAATAAACAGTTAGTCAATAACTTATAACAAAAGCCGGCACCTACTAATATTTGTCCAATATCAGACTACTCACTGAATACTACTAACATAGAAAGAAAAGTAGAATAACGTGTCTCAAAACAAAGGGCCTAACATTTTTAAAATGATTTTATTTATAATATAAAAATTAAAATTAAATTATTTTAAAAATAATTTTGAGACATATTTTAAAATTGTGTTTAGTTAGTTTTTTAAGATATTATTTTGAGTATAATAAAAAAATAAAATCGTGTTTGGTTATAATTATTAATTATTATATTATAATACTATTGATAAGTAATAAAAAATGAAAATAGAAAAAAGCAAAACAACTTTTAATCTTTTTTGTTTTTATTTTCGTTTCCAAAACATTTACTAAATAAACACGGTTTGCATACTATTTTTATTTTCATGGCTCAAAAAACGTGCACCTAAAATTTCATCAACACTTAATAAATGTTCCTAGATTATTAATTTGGATTGAATAAATAAATAATCTAAAGAAATTAATGAACACTCGAATAACACAAACAAACTTAAAAAAGTAAAAAGAATAAAGTAAAGACGTTAATCACAAGGTATTGTATTCCAAAAATAGTGCAGAATTTAATTGAGAATTAAGGGTTTAATTCTTCTTATTAATAAGAGTTTATTCTCTGTTTCTAACTATATTAAAAGAGTATATATATATATATATATATATATCTACTGTGCACTTATCGCAGTGTAAAATGCACCGTCTTGGTGTTTCAATTTTATTTTTTTTTTATTTTTTTTTATTTTTTTGGCCTTTTGCTTTCTTCTTTTATTTGTTTGTTGCTCGTCTTCTGTCATATTAAGACTTTTTAGTGCTTCTGTATCTCTCTCTCTCTCTCTGATTCATTTCAAACTCTTTTCTTTTTTCTTTTGTTTTTTTGCCTTTTATGTGCTTCTTTGTTTTTGTTTTTTATTTTGTTTTTGATACCTGTTAAATCTTAAATATAAAAAAATAGCAACCGTTCATTATGTAATGGTCTAAAATGGTGAATTTCAGGTTCTTTATTTTTTTCCCATTCATTTTTAATTTTCAGCTCCTTTGTTTTTTTTAGTGATTTTTTAGTGCTTTATTTTTTTTCTTTTCTTTTCAAGTTTCTGTTGTTTTTAATATGGTTCTTTTCAAGTTTTAACTCCTGTTTTTTTTTTTTTAAATAGTTCTTTTCAAGTTTTAACTCCTTTGGTTTTTTATTATTTAGAATATATCATGTATTTCCGTGATTAAATGTATTTTTACTTAAAATACTATTAATATACACTTTTTTTTTTTTCAAATTTTACACCTTATAGTGGAGTTGGTTCTATAATAGCTATTAAGACATGCATGCTACTACTTGAAAGTAAAATGTATAGTTGTTTTGAATAAGTAGGATATTTTTTCCTGTATATTGTTATTCGTATTTCACATTATGAATATTTTAATTATAACTCAATATATGTTTTCCTTCTTATTAATTTTATGTGATGATTAGATTAGTAATTTTTAATTTGTATGTTTTCCTTGTTCGTAGAGGGGCAGGAAATGTATGTTTTCCTTCTTATTAATTTTATGTGGTGGTTAGATTATTATTTTAACACGTGATGTTTATCATTTTAATTTTTGCCGGTCATTGTTATGATAGATGTGTGGTCGTATTTTGCATTGGATTATATAAAATTTGGAGAAATTTTAGTAAATACTACATTTTTAAACTACGCAAATAACAAATTTTAAATTTATTTAAAGTAAATAGTAATTTATTGTAGAAATGTTCCGATTAATAAAAAAACAACTTGCGTGATAAAAAAAATCTTTATTTACATAAAAAGAAATTTTTTTTTAACAATCGTAAAATGAAAAATTATATGAAAAAAAAAATTTACTAATCCTAAATGAAATATTTAAGTACAAAACTTATGTTTACTTTAAATAATTTTAAAATTTATTATTTACTTAATATTTAATTTTATTAAATAATTTTAAAATTTATTATTTACTTAATATTTAATTTTATAAATCTGTAATTTATTACATTCTCCCTTATATTTGCTGAAAAAGCAGTCTGTCATCACCGTAACTTTCCACCTAGATCGTTATTGTTTTTATGAAATTATATTTATGCCTTAAATAGTTTTGGATTTCTTATGTAATTTTTCTTGAAGATGGATGCGCATTGAAAAGATCAAAGAACCGTCAAGAAAGCTATTAAACTTTTTGCATACCTTTTGATTTTCATTTTAAAAAAAAAAAAATCCAACACTTGTTTTGATGGAATTATTTTATGAATGATGATAATGACCAGTTGGAAGAAAATGCTTAAAAATTACGGGTCTACGGTTCATCGAACGACTCGTGATTCAGCATGGATAGTACTGGTAATTAGTAAAAGAAATAGGCGTCTTGATACAGTAGATCCAGAGGGTACGTGACGCATTAGAGAACAAAAATGACCGATTTCTAAGGCCTCTTTAGATCAATACGACCAGAGTAGTAATATACGACATATTTCGTGAAGAAAAATATTTTAGATCAATGTTAAGAATAGAATCATCAAAAAGATCTTGTAAGCGTCACTTAAATATATTAGCGATATTTTACGGGGAGTATAAAACGTGATATATATGCCAATTACCTATTGGTCCAGTTAATTATTGAAAGTTAAAAAGGAAATAGTAGAAAATAGGTCAATATGAAAAGTTTAAAAAAGTATATAGGCCAATTTTTAGTTATAAAAATTAATAGATTAATAGACCATAATCAGATAAGTTATGGACAAACTTGTCAAGTTATGGTTCATAGCCAGACAAGTTATGGATAATTATGGACAATAACTTGTCAAGTTATGGTTCATAACCAGACAAGTTATTGACGAAAACAGTAATGTAGCCTATTTATTAACTTATGTAAACTATTAGCCTATTAATTTTAATCTATCTCAAGTCTTAGTCTATTTTCCTCTTTCTCCCAAAGTTAAATTTGTTTGACAAAACCAAATAGCCTTTATACCGCAAAAAGCCAAGCTTATTAAAGAAATAGCCACAATTAAAACGAGACTTTTTACGGACTCTAATCAATTCATTAGGGTTGGTAATATTATTTAAATATCTTCCACCAACATGGGAATATATTACTTTTAGAGGTTGTTTTTAATTTTTGTAAGAAGCTACAGTAGATTAGGTGTTTGGCAAAACTTGATTTTGTCCGACAGCTTCTAAAAACTGTTGCCCCATAGCAGAATTTGAGAAGTAAGTCAGGGGTTTTTCCACAGCAGCTGCTGTCATTATGTAAATTTACTAAAATGACCATAATAAAAAAATTAATTCCCAATCAACTCATTTTATTTATTCCAATAATATATTAATGTTTATTTAAAAATTAAAAATCTTTAATAAATATCTTATGCTAAATTTTAATAATATATTTTTATTATAATGTTGCAAGTTAAAAAAAATAAAAACAGACGCGCGCGCGCACAGTTCAATTCCGGGACTTGGATTAAGGCAAACACAAAGGAGGTTCATCTTAGAATCTAAAATAACACTTCGAGTGTTGCTTTATTTTCAACATGGACAAATCTAACACCATCATTAAAGCCATACACATAACACTACATATCTGCCACAAACTAAATTAGCGGGACAAGGTGACATACTTGATAAAATACGTATGAATGATATTTTAACCGATCGAGTCAGTTGGAGAGAAATTTCCAAAAGTTGGTTAGATAAAATGACAAGAGCTTGTGGAAATTAGCACATGTTTCGGAAACTAACAAAACCAATTAAGCTGGTTAAGACTTGAGACTTTTTTCTAATCGTTTTTCAATAATATTATTCTCGTTCCTAATTTCTATAAAATTGTTCATTTTTAAAATCATTTTCATGGTTGCGTTGCTTTTTCAATTTATTGTCGTTTCATTTCTCGTGATTTTCTCCATCATGTGGTGCGGTTTCGTGTATTTTTTTTATAATTGGACGTGATTTCGTGTATTGTTGTCATTTTCACGATGACTTCTTATTGTACTACTGTCGTCTTTTAACTCTAGTTATTGGCGTTCTTTAATGTTGTCGGTTCTCCATGTTATTTTCATTTCGCAACATGATGTCGTTTTCAATGTTGTCGGTATTAATTGTTACGGTCGTTTGCAAAATGTCGTCGGTATCGTCATTCTGCCTATGATGTTTTCTACCGTTTTCCCGTCACTTATTTCTTTCCCCCATTGGACACATTTTTTCAAATTTGATTTCCCCTAAAAGTTTTGTAAAAGTTCATGTGTGCGTTTTATTTATAAATAATGATATCTATACCCAGCATGATAATTAAAATAAAATAAAAAAAACAAACATCTCTAGTATCTTTTGCAGTGCTCCAACAAAAATTTCTAGCTTTCTCACTGAGATATCTTGAAAGTTTATTTATATAGATCCAACAATGCAAGCTTGAGAAACGACATTGGCATCGACAATGACCAGACACACGCAACGCATTGGAGATCCGGAGAAGGTTTAGAAAACGACTTCAACACAAAAGTAGACAAGTTACTTGCAGAGCAATAAGATAAAAACGACGATGAATCAGCAAAGTGACTGACCGGGTAAAAACGATAACAACCTGGGAGAATATTTAGAATATGACAAACAAACTACATTAAATTGACAACAACAGCGGTATAAAGAAGACATACATGAACGACAGGCAATGTTATAAGAGACAATAAATTGAAAAACGACAAAAGATGGGAATACGACTACAATTCTACAAACACAAAGATAAATAATAAACAGTAAACGACAACAATATAATATTAAGCTACATATAAGACCTAAAGGAAGGTAGTCGCAAGCCCTGCTGAGCCTCAGAGGTGTAGTTGATCTTGAAGGAAAAACGAGGACATTCAAACACAGAACAAAAGGTTTGGATGTTCATTAGCAACAGTATCAAGAGAACAGCGAAAACTTTGCACCATTTCCGCACGGTCCGCCGCCACTTGTTCATGAATTTACACGCTGACACCTTCCACAAACTGTTGTAGTAGTTAGTAACCCCTTCAATGGCCATGTCTAAATCTGGGGTGTTTGTTAGCTCTATCAACTTGTTCATTTCACTGAAAATCTTCGCGACTTTTTCATCATTGATGGACTCCGGTTTGGAGATAATTCCCTGATCCTTAAGCACCATAACATCGTCAGCAGACTTTATAAGCCCGTTCATCAATTCAACAAACCCATTTAGAATCAATGGTTCTTTCTCAGACTTGACCATGGCCTCATACGCACCCAAGTTTCTAAGTACAACCTCAAAGTTGACATTTAGCCTGGTGAATGGAAGATGAAAGGAGACTGTGTTTGGATCAAACCTGATGGTTGTGATGTGATCAGCCACGAAGAATTTCACTCCAGATTTATTTAGTTCCGACGCTCTCGGAAACGAAATTTCCTTGGCAGGCACTTCTTCTTTTGCAGCTAAAGGTATACTTGACATGAGGTCTGACCATGGTAGTTCAAGTAAACCTTGAACAAGCTCAATGGGTTTTTGAAGTTCTGGTGGTGCTATCTCCTTTACTAAGTCAACGATTTGATCACTGATCACTGCGGTTTTCATGCACATTGGAAATATTACTGGAACCAGGATTTCAGATCTTACTTTCTTATATAGTTCTTCTATTGACCTCAACTCCTCTTCTTCTTCTTTAGAATTCCATTCAGACGAGTGCTTGAGAGTGACCAAATGGTAAAGAAGATCCAACAAATGGGCACGTTTTATGGCCTTGTAGAGAGGATAATTCTCCACTATTTTAAATGGTGAGAAGAATTCACAAAATCCAAACAAGATTTTTGGGAAAAGATTACTTACAATCTCATTCCGGTGTGAGACTTGCGAGCATTCTGCGATCAAGATAACTTTCAGAACAAATATAGGAATTTGATTCTCGAGCATCATGGCTTCTTGAATGGCAGTTTCCTGAGCCAATATCCTTCCAACAAAGTTAACTAAGTGACACAGAGAGCTGGAATTGGCAAGAGCTTCCATGTTGATTCCGCAGCAGCAAAGCAAACCAAACAGAAACAAGCCATCAACGGCCATTACACACGCCAAAACTTCATCTTCCATATCCAAGTAGATGTTGTAAGAGGCACGAACCGATGGGACCGCTATCTGCTTAAGAAACTCGACGAGTTTCTCAAAGTCAAGGCTTTGAAATCCCTTGTGAATCCTTTTGGCCTCCACAACCTTGTACATTTGCATGTTTTGGAGCTCATGCCTCAAGTGATGGACAGGCCCTAAGCCTACTAATTGAGGGGCATAAGCTTCTGGTTTGGAAGAAGTTATGGAGTTGGGGACTTTGAAGATGCTAATAGGAACATCTATGTCATCTTTGTTGAAGATGTCAGTGATTGTCTTGTCAAAATTTTCGGTTTTTTCGGCCATTTGTTGTTTGCCTGAGTTTATAGAGATTGTAAGCTAATTAAGACAATGATTTCAGTGATTTTAGAGAGATTGCAATGCTAACACTTTGTAAGGAAGAAGGTGGAGGGATTATTAGATGGAGAGAATGAATATAAAAATGGATGGTTTTTAAGCCCATCTCTCTTTTTTTCCCCCCTTTCTACTTAAAAGGGAGTTTTAACGTCTATATTATCTAAATACACGTTACATACACAGCAGAGAATGCCCAGGAAGGATGAAAAAAAAAATTGCACAGGAAGGTGTTGACCTGCTATTAAAGTGGGTATTTCTGTTTCTAGAGTAGGATCTATGGCTCAAATTAAAGCCATGAAGCAAGTAGCTGGCAAATTGAAATTGACACAATTCTCAAAATTAGAAGCCTTTGCACAATTTTCCAAGCCGGAAAATCAGAACCAATTAATTAAGATAAAAATAAAAAGACTTTTTATTTATTTTTATGGAATATATATGTATATATATCAATGCTTTTAGATTATAACTTTCATCTCACTTCTTGTTCCTATATTAATAGGAGTAGGACTTCTATTTTTTCCAACGTAAAAAATTCTTTCAACAAAGATGTGAATTAAGAAGAATTGGTCGATGAAATATGAACCGTAAACTAAATCTTGATATACCTCAGAACACTACATTTTTGTTACCACGGCAATAAATCCTTTTTTTTTTTTTCTTTGCATTATCCACCATATATCTCTTTGCAAACTCCAGGGCTCCTTTCTTCCTTCAAGTCAGATTTTGATCCCCAGCGACAAAGGTGTTAGTGGTTTATCATTGGGTCAATAATGCTACTCCCCCTTTTTGGTGAGGAAAGTGGCGTGGGCGTGGGCGTGGGCGTGGGTGTGGTACATTCTACGGCAGTTGCCTCTTCTCCCCTTTTGAGGACTCGTGGAAAATAGTATCTTTCTAGCCTGCATATTCGTGGAAGTCAATCTCATTTTGTAGGCTTATCTCTATTTTTAGCAACTGAACGGGAAGTGATTTAGGAAAGGACTTTTTCATCAGATGCGCTCACCCAACCAACGAGAAAGGGCTCGCCGATCTCCTTTAGGGGTGGGCGACATTGCCTCTTTGCCCTGTTTGTACTTACTTGCAGAGTGAGCAAAAGCATACTTTTGGGCTTCTCTGCAATGCGTTTTGTGATTGGTTTGATTGGTGGGGATAGGGCTTTAGTCTTAGTTAAATGGTTAAGTAGGTGCAGCTTTTCCATTTCTGCGTACTTGGGAGGATTTGAGACCCCCTAAACCTAGAGTTAACTGGTGTAACTTAGCATGGTTCTCTAAGGCTATTCCAAGGCATGCTTTCATCGATGGTCGACAAGTATGATAGTACTAATGATGATTCTTCACGTATTTCGTGTATATCTCGCTGGTGCACCCAAGATCAGATATAGCTGGTTTTCCACAAGATCCATTTCAGCAGAGCATATGATGTCGATGGCCCGAGGTAGAGCACTCAATGAGCAAGGGTGGCCGCCATAGGCCAAGCCTTTCCCTTAAAAACCGAGCAGAACAGGGGTAGGGAAGGGCCACCAATTACTAAGCCGGTCAACTTAACTTACCCCGCTCATCCATACTGATTTTTAGTGGCTTTTGTTTAATTCATTCGGTAGGTCTTTGAAAGAGTTCAACATCGTTGAATAGAAGCATCTTTTTTTTCTTAATTACAGCACAAAGAACTAATTGAGTAAGAAAGGAAAGGGTTTCACAGCTAAGAGAAACAGTCATGTTTCTAATCGTCCAATCTACCAATAAAAGAATTCTATACCATTTGATCTCTTTATCATTTAAAATTTGTAAAAAATAAAAAAAGGCATTGTCGATGGATTTTACCACGAATCCATCAAGGACAGTTTTATACTTTACAAAGAGGAACGTTATATCACGCATCCATATATACGTAAGTCTTACATAGTTGTCCTTGTCTCATCGGTACTCATTCCCTCTTATTCTTCCTCTGTAATAGCTGCCTCGCTAGCGAAGGGTCTTCCGAGCCCTGCGCAGATATCATATCAAACTTTACCAATTCTTTTTGGCGACTATAATCTTTTCCCAAATCCTAGGACGCCCAATATATGTTTTACCTCTTCTATTCGAAAATCTTAAATTTTTATAAGTTCTTCTTGACTTTTATTCAAAAGTTCTAAAAATGTATTGATATTAGACCTTTTGAGGCAATTATAGACCCTGGGGGGCAATTTTGATTGGTCAATATAAATATATTTCAATGCTATTTCTTTTTTCATTTTTCTTAGTTTAGCTAATCTACCATGAAAATTAAAAAGAGGTAAAGTACCTTTGTGTTGATTATGTCTAGATTTGCCTCAATTGTTTCTCTTGCCTTCAGCTTTACTCAAGTTAGCTTCTGTCATTTCAAGAGTTTGCTGAGTGAATAGGCCCTGAAAGGAGAAGTGAGGTTGGAATGTCAACTGGCGTCTATTATTGAATTCACCTTACCTGATAGTACCCTAAAAAGTCGGGTGTAAAAAGGAAAAAAGGTCTTCGTTCCTGGTTCTCCTTTAGCTAGATCCTCCGGAACAAGACCTATAAACTTTTGCCACTATTAAGTCACCAGTGAGTGGCATTGCTCAGTTACTAACGACAAATGTGACAAAATTGGTAATGAAACAAAAAAGTCTCGTTCATTTCATCGATTTGAGTTTTTAGTTATAAGTTTTTACAGTTAAAAGCTCTCAGAAAATGTCACATCTAATTTTTTTTTGCTACAGTTAAAAGCTCTCAAAAAATGTCATATCTCAACTCGAATTAAAAACTCGAATCCGCAAAACGAACGAGGCTAAAGTGTAATTTTTGGCCTAACATTTTGCTTTGCCAGCTTATATATGAGGAATAGAAAATTTTCAAGGGACTCCAAGGAAAATTATAAAGAACTAGTACTCGCCTGCTCACCAAATTTTATCCTTCTGGATTGAGATTATTAACAGACCTATTATCAGTCACTCAATCAGAATTTATCAGTAGGGGTCAAATTTTTTTAATTAAGATTATTCCAAAACTGTATATATATAATAGTTTTTATTTATATATGTAACACATGATTGACTTAATAAAATATAAAGAATTATTAATTTAAGAGAGATTAAGTCTAATTTATATACATACTTATTATATTAAAATTAGAATCACTATATTAAAAAATAAAAAATAAAAAAGCTAGCCCCCAGTCTTATGTCAATGCCTATCATTGAACATATATTTTCAACAGAGAGTATCCGAAGTTTGATCCTCGAGGATTAATTTGTATGGTTGGGCTACAAGACTACGTTTAGAGATGAAAAAAATAATAAAGAAAAATAAACTCTCGTACGATTATTTGTGATAAAACTAAACCATGTGCCTAAGAAAAATTGTTAAACTTACTCTTAAAGTACATGACTCTAAATTTTTACGTTTTACTCTTAATTAATGTCTTTTATATAATTATTTGATTAAAAAGGATTTTAATTAATAATAAAAAGTAAAAATCTAAATCTACGCACTTCTCCCGCTAACATCATGACTTGGAAAGAAAGTACTTCCACTCCAAATAGGCAAACATTAAAAGCCCTGTTGAGCCTGAGAGGTGTTGTTCTTGAAGAATGAAAGACAAACGACGACATTCATACACCGAGAAAAGCTTGGATAGCCATGAACAACAGGACCAAGAAAGCACCAAGCACCTTGAGATAGCTCCACACAGGCCACCGCCATTTCTTGATGAACTAAGATGCTAACCGCAGCAATCTTTTCGTTCAAATCCGGTGTGTTTGTCGCTCGAATGGACTTACTCATTCCACTGAATAATTTTCAATTCATTGTCGCTTAATTGTTCTTGTCATTTTCTCTATGTGAATTCGTGCGTTGTTGTCACTGCGACGGCGACATCTTGTCGTAGTAATGTCCTCTTTTCTTTCGGGTAATTGTCGTTTATTGTATGTTGCTGCCACTCGCTGGTTTTCCGTGTTATTATCGTTTTGCAATATCATTTTTTTTTTCAATGTTATTGTCGTTTTAAAATACGGTCTCGTTTTTATGAATTATTATTACAAAAGATATCATTTCCCCTGTTAAAATTAAGTATATGGTTTTCCATAGTAAATGACATTTATGTTTAAGCTCTTTGTCGTTTCTTAGGAGGGTAAGCTCTTTGTTTTTGTGAGCTAGCTCCCAGTGAATGTTTCATCTTCCATTGGTTTTTTGTTTTTTGTTTTTTGTTCTTTGTTTTTGTGAGCTAGCTCCCAGTGAATGTTTCATCTTCCATTGGTCAAAGGTCAACTCCGAGGTTGTGATTAGGAACTTAGTTGCATAAGATTAAGAAGCCATGAAAATCAGAACCGATGAGTTTTTCTTGATATGTGGAATTTATTATTGTTATACTTATATTTGGGACAGTTTAAGATGTTAAGGTGCCCAAACATCTTGATATCTTAAAAATTTAGAATTAGAGTTCCATGACAGACGACGAAGTCGCATTAGTATTCAAGGGGATGAGCAAGTCAGTACAGCTGACAAACGACACAGCCATTGAACAAGTTAACAAATACTACAAGATTGGTTTCTAGAAGGTTTCTGTGAGTAAGGTCATTAAGAAAGGGCAAATCGCAGTAAATGGAACATATGCAGTCTGTTTATTCAATAAGAATAGAAGTGCCTTGAAAATCTTTTATTTTCAATCCAATACATATAGCTCTACAAATTACTAGGAGGATCAAGGATGGTGATGATTAGTTTATAGTATATCTAGTACTAGTTTCATATTCAAAAGTCAAATCATAGAACAAATAGCAGTATGTACAAAGAGGCATAAGTGGGACATATTTGGGCATGAGAAAAGAGTAGGCCATATTAAGCCATCGTTTCTGTCTTCCTGGCTTATTGTTCCGTGCAAGGAATCTCAAATGAACTGAAAAGGAAAGATGAAACTTTGGAGATAGTGCATTAGACTTTCTTGTACTTATTCTCTTGTTGCAAGTCAAAAGAAGAACTTAATACTATTATTGATAAGATTCAGCAACTTTCCCTCCGTTGAGATTGTGATCACGTTTTCAGTAAAAGGAACAGGGCATTTAAAGATTCCAATGAAATTGATTGAACATGAAATAGATATCAAAACCAGATTACCATTATTGCGGGTTCAAGCTAATACAGATAACTCAAGGACACGAAGTAAACTTACAGAGCATTACAGGAAAACAAACTCGCAGCATATGATCATGTATCGAAAACTATCTCTCTTTCAATGGTTTAGACAGATAACTCAGTTGGAGAAATCAGAATTCCATCGGTGTCTGCATAGAGCCATTCGCCGTCTCGGATCCTTGTCCCTGCAAGGCTTATTGGAACATGCTTCTCTCCGTGCCGCTTCTTATTAGCTTTCATTGGATGGGAGGCCAAAGCTCTCACCCCAATGTCACATCCATTAATCTCATCAACATCTCTTATACATCCATTCACCACTATCCCTGCCCATCCATTGTTCTGAGCTTGAACTACAGGATTACCACCCAATATAGCACATCTCAAGCTTCCACCACCGTCCACAACAAGAACTCTGCCATTGCCTTTCTCCTCAAGCAACTCGCGAACCAGCACATTGTCTTCAAACACCTTGAGGGTAACTATTTGTCCGGAGAACACCTGTCGACGGCCATATATCTGAAAAATTGGCTGGAGTGCCCGGAGCTCGCCGCTCGCAATTAGTTGTGAGTTTGCATCACAAACTTCAGCAGTTGTAACCAAGGCCATTTAGGGCAAGTATCTTCAAGATAGAATCATAGGACAAACACCAAATTCTTTTAATATAGACTAGTATAACCCAATTGACACTAATTCACCATTAAACCGAAAACTCTGATTCTTTAGTGATAAGAAAGAAGAGTGAAGAAGACAATGTCAAATTAAAAACTAAATCAAAATCAAATTGGAATGAAGGAATCTCAATATGAAGAAGCTCAGAATTGATAAGAGACACCAAAAAGGCACAGATCCTATGGTTCAGGAACCTAACTTTCCTTCCCTAATCACTCTCTTCTACGTATATATAACTTAACCTGAAACTTAGAAAAGGGAACGACAGAACAATATCTTTTTATGTGCTATATATACATCTTTACATGTATGTGTGGGGGTGCGAGCCGGTAAACAAGTGGATCCGAAGGCTTTTGAGAATTATTATGGCATAACTAACAATAAATCGCAGATTAAGTATGACAAAATTAAAATAATAACGACTAGTTTATCAAAATAAAGGCTGTTAAACAATTTTTTTAGCCGAATTGCTTGAAATCACGGTACTTTTCGTCGGCATCCAGTAATCGAGTCTGCTTTAGATGCAGAGAAACTGATAGAAATGCAAAAGAAAATCAAAATTTGAACATAAAACGTATGCGTTCAAAATTTCATCCCAAATCAATTTATCTTCCAAGTTTCTCGGGAAACAAACAGGAAGTTCATGAAATCAAGATAAAAAGGAGAGATGATCCGACAGTTCAAAGTTTTTACCTGCGATCAGCGTCGGCCACCGTAACAACGCTAAGCTCCAGCTATTTAAGAATATGCACAGCCTGAGAGAGAGAGAGAGAGAGAGAGAGAGAGCTTCTCAGCACTGACTCTCGCTCACAAGAAACCTAGGATGATAAATACTTGAAAAACAGAGAGAGGATCTGTATTTCTGTGTTAGCAGTAAAGCGCGTGGATTACTATTTCGATCGCATTTCAAATTCTTATGTAATTTTACTACTTTTTGTTTTCTCAGATCTATTTTCTTTTCTTCTTCTTTTTTGCCCTTTTCACGTGATTCACTAATTTTTAGACTCTATTTGGTTCATAGATTAAAATTATGTGATTAGAATTATTTTTAATTTACGTATATTTTTTATGAGAAAAAATCTTATAACAAACCATGAATCATGATTCAAATCAAAGAACGAATCTCTCTACTAAACATCACCTTAACTTTTTAATTATCACTAATGAAAACAAAATGAGCCGTCTAATGAGAAGTAATGACTGACCCATGTGGTCCTACTCTCAAACGTCAACTATTAAATTAAAATAAAAATATCGCTATTAATTGTTAGTTTTCTTTTTTTTTTTTTACTTTTAATATGACTAATATATTATTAATATTGGATTGATTTGGTCATTGTTAATTTTTTTAGTGGGAACTGAAAATTAAGTCCAACTATAAGAAATTGGAGGTGCTTTTAAAATTTAGATTGGGATTCCCTCAAAAAGAAAAAAAAAAAAAAATAGATTGGGATGGGGAGTTCTATCACCCGCTTGAATGGAGCGTGACTGGGGAGATATTTAATCAAATAATTGGTGTATTTAGGGTTAGAAAATGGCGGTTTTATGGTGGGATTGCGTTGTGCAGATCTTCATCTGATAATGATGGCTTCATGTGTGAGTGGCAAGTGGCATCTGTATTTCATTAGTGCTTTGGTCACAAAATGACGTCTGAGCCAGCAGCCACCAAGGTTCACGCTTCTATATATATATATATATATATATATATTTTTTTTTTTTTTTTGATTCATTGGATTTGCCCTTTTAGTTGTTGACAACTTGACATACGTGATGGATCGAAATAGACGTGGTTAAATCCTCCCCTCAAAAATAAAAAGGAAAAAAAATCACAAAAATACATTGGTTTTCAGCATTCAACACAATTAGTTGATGAACTATATGGTAATACTTTAATCGGTAAACTTTTAATTTTGACATATTATCCTTTTTTTTTTATAATTTAGATTCTTGAACATCAATTGAAGATGAACTTTTACGATTCAAGATAGATAATTACGAGTCAATCGTGTCTTATTATTTATGTAAATTTTTACGTTACGAGTCAATAGTATCTTATTATTTATGTAAATTTTTATGTAACAATCAGATGATGATGATGATGATGTCATTTTTTACGTTAAATTTTAAAAATTATAAGTCAATCCTAGTATTAGTGTGAAAAAACAAATGTTCAAAGAAAATATAACAAGCCATAGATTAGTACTCTACAAAAATTAAGAATTCACGAACTAAATTGTTACTATGCTCATAGTTTAATAACTAACAAGCCAATCACCCTTTATACATAATAACCTTGTGCGTCTCAAATTCTCAATATTATAAGGCAAATATAAATCACCTTTAAATTAATGTAGTTAGTTTATTCTATGTATTTCCTAATAGAACTGTTAAAACTTAATCATTACTATTTAGTATACCAATTTTTTTTTTTTTTGAAAACATTTATTATATCATGGCGACAATACAGCAATATAACAAAATACGAATACTACAAAGTAAAATGTGCCCAACGCTGGATAAGATAACTACGGAGAGGAGAAGCCCAAACTCTTTACAAGTGTTTAAAGTTTGAATCTTCCCTCAATCCTCTTATAATCATATCAATGGAGAGCAAACAAGGTGATGTTTTGTTTTCAAATTAAGCGATCAAATTAATTAATTAACAAAAAGAGAGAACAAGCAGAGACACCAATACTATTAAAGAGAACAGAAACAGCCACTAAGATTCTTATTAGCTTCCCCAAATGCATAAAGCATGTACTCCATCACAGATCCGAGGCTTGTTTTTCGAATGTTCACTCAAAACTTACCATCAGCACGCCATAAGTTAAGAGTTTTTTCTTTCTTTTTTTTCTTTTTTTCCCTTTTTTTGCCTTGTGGGCAAAAAGTAGAATGAAGCAAATACAAAAGAGTTCCAGTGCCTACTTATTTGGAAACCCACTTGGTGTGCAAACTTATTGGAAGAAAGGCTACTACGACACCACAAAAAACTGCGCTTTTCAAGTCAACTTGTGAATGGTTTTCATGTCAATAACCTCCTTGAGTGTGCCATTCTCAAGATGATCCCACCATTTGAACAAGAAGTTGTCTACAACCAGTCTGAACCAAGGGGACAGCTTTAAACCGCCCTCCCCGGCATCTGCTTTCCTCAAGAGCTCTTTCAACTGATCGCGGTTTACGTACTTGATATCAGCAACTTCATCAGGGTTTGGATGGGCACTAACATCTCGGACAATGAAGAGCAGGTAATCAACTGCAATACAAGGAAATGATGACAAAGAAGTGAACACAAAAATCAAAACAATGAGACTTTTGACGGAAGACACCTTTCATAATTAATTGATGGATTGAAAATCAAATTTGCTAGCCACGTTTACCATGAATAATCTCATATTTATAAATCAAACAAACGGCAAATCAAAAATTATCAATGTACTCAAGTGTTGCAACTAGCACGCGAAAATTTTCCAATAGAGACCAGTTGCGGCACCAATGTTCCTAATCTAACTCAAAGACTATTTTATAAAATGAGCAAAAGTACCAAAAAAGTGACGTTAAGTAAATTAAAGTTCGAATTATTACGTTCGTGTTCGCCCCACTTGCCATCAGAGGGTGCCTTGTACAGAATCCTGCCTAGAGGGGTAAACTGGTCAACTGGGACATCTTCAGCAGCAATACCCAGTTCATCAAAAAGCTTTCTTTGTGCTGCATTCCTTACTCCTGGTGATGAGAGAGAACAAAAACAATAACAAAAGTTAGGGCAAGTAAGTTTTCAAGGAAAATTGGAATATCTACTTATACAGAAATTCATACCAAGGTAATCATCCTCAATAAGTTCAGATTCACGGTAGAGTGGATGGCTGCAACAGGTGTTTGTCCATACAAGAGGGAATGTTACCTTTGTTCCGGATCTTTGCTGTAGAGGTAAAAACAGACAGAAGTAGGCACATCTCATAAGACAAACTTATCACCAGAAATGTTCCCAAGCAGAAATAAACAGCCGTTCAATTAAACTAGCCTAAATATCTTCAAAGAGAGCACAAAAAGAAATGTATCCGTGACCTTGATGTCATTTAGCCAATGAAATTTCTTTCCAAAGTATTGATCGACACAGTGTAGATGACAACATATAGAGTGATACATGGAAGTAAATAACAGCCTACAATCAGCGGCACCAATTACTAATATCGAATACTAAGGTGAATAAAAAATGACAATTGTTTAATATGTTATATGCATGGGTCGAATTATGACTCAGTTCCTTCATTTACGTGGCACTATAAAGTATAAACTTGCTTCTTTTTGCATTTAATCTGGGATATCCAATTCAAAGAATTTCGACCACTCTCCATCTAAGCAACTCACACTTGAATCTAAATTTCTGATAAATTCATAGCAAAATTAAGATGTAGCTTCACTCCTAGTCCTGATATCACGCATAAACAGAAACATTTACACCCATACGCTTGCTTGTTTTTCAAGTATGCAAGCGGTTTTAAGTTTACAATTCAACCAATAACGTGATGCAACCAATAACGTGTTACTTTTCTATAGGTCATTTAATCCTGTAAGCCGTCAATATAGTCCATGTAAGTTCCACAAAACTTCTGAAATTAAGACATTGTTTTTAGTGCAAATATTTTCTTTCACCATTGATATTTTCTGTGTTCAAGTCTGCAAGCTTCCAGTTCAACAAACTTGATATATGAAAAAAATACCTGAAGAAGCAACTCATATTTTGAGTTAAACAAAAACACACTGAAAGCCCTGTGAAGCAGATTATCTTTTTCAATCTTCTCCATTAAGTGACCTGCAGTTTTACAGAACTGAGACAATTAAAGAACCATGCTAAGGATCCAGCAGAATGTTCACCACCATCCACACAAAAGGCAAAAAATTATAGGATTCTGGAGCTCTACAAAGTAAAATAATCAACAATATGAAGAAATTGTTCTTAGATCATAACATGAAAGCAGCCAACATTAACAGACTGTGTCTGGTTTAGGATAGAAAAATATTTGTTAAAGCAAAACACAAAGAAATGCGCCAAAAGAAGGTTGAAGCCCGATGTCTACTTACAATTGTATTTGCTATCATGACCAACCACACGATCACTCTCATCCACTAGAATGCATCTGTAGAAAGAACAAATAAAGATCGTTTTAAGCTCGATGAAAGAGGAATAATTAATATAAAAAAATAAAATAAAAAATAATGCATCAGAGATACATCAATGCATTAAAAACCACACAAAAAAAAAAAACCCCCTACAAATATTGGTATATACATAGATTCGAATAAAAATTTAGATAAGTCGATGTTTTTCGGCCCCAATTAGAGCATCAACAATTTGATTGAATAAAAATCCCAAACCATTTGACTATACCAAATTATCAGCTCAGCCAACGTATTCCCTTTTTTTTCTGAAAACAAACCCCAGATTTCATTTTCTTTCCTTGCTGGACCAAAAGAAGAAATTAAATCTATAAGCCATCTAAGCCTTAAAAACAACGAAAACATAGCCAAGAAGTTTGTTCTGGTTCTGACTAGATTAAAAAAAAAAAAAAAAAAAAAAAAAAACCTGTCAAAGTCATAGTAGTCAGAGTTTTTTCATTTCCGCAGCAAAGATGAGCATAAACGAAAAATCATAAAACAAAACAACTTAGGCTTCTTCACTTCACAGATTTAAGTTTTCACTTCACGAATTTAAATTTTTAATTTAAGTTGAGATATAATATTTTTTAAAAATTTTTTTACTGTAACAAAAAAAAAAGTTAAATGTGACAAATTTTTACGAATTTTTATTATAAAAATCTAAAATTAAAAACTCAAATTGATGAAATGAAAGACGCCTAAATTCCATTTTTCTCATCAACCGAACACAGTATAACAAGAAAATCATTATTCAGGGATGCAGAGAGAGAGAGAGAGAGAGAGAGAGCGTTGAAAATTTCAATTCCTTCTCCATGACTCCCTTCTCTCAGCAGCCAAACGAAGAACAAACAAATCAATAAAAAAAAAAATTCAATAAAAAAAAAGTCCTTTCTTCCACATAATTCTCAATCTTCAGATTTTTTGTTTTGGTGAAAGAGCATAACACAAAATCATACAGGAAAGCAAACAATTAGAAACTTGAAGATGAAAATTCATGATTTTGAAGTTCTTGAAGATCAAAATCATAAAGAGACTAGAGTTAAAACGCACTCGTCTTCAAACATGAGGCGTCTCTGGACGGCGTCCATGCCGGCATCAGGAGCGTCTCCCATGGCGGTTGTCTTGGAGGAGAGAGAAACCCTGGCGGTGAGAGGAGAGAAGGTCTTGGGGGAAAGAGAGAATCGGAGAGAAGAGTTATGGGCAAAATGGGAAAAAGAAGAAGAGAGGATATGGGAAGATTTTGGGGCCAAAGAGAGCCTGGTTGTGGTATTAACGAGTTGGGAAGTGAGAGCCATTTTAGTTATTTTTCAGCACAAAAAAGTTGTACGCATTCGGCAAATAATTACGAGGACCCAAAATCCACCATTGTCGGATTCAGTATGCCATATATATAATGCCAATTCATGGTATATTAATTTCTCAGCAGCCAATAAATAAAATATTATAAATTTTACGAAAATAGTAGAAAATATATCAATATGATAGATTAATTTTTAGTTATATAAATTAATAGATCATAACTTATCAAGTTATAATTTATAACCAGATAAGTTATGGATAAATTTGACAAGTTATGGTTTATAACTAGACAAATTATTGATAAAAATCGTGAATAACTTATCAAGTTATGGTTCATAACCAGACAAATTATGAACGAAAACAGTAATTTAACTTATTTATTAACTTATGTAAACTATTAACTTATTAATTTTAATTTATCTCAAACAGTGACTTATTTCTCTCTTTTTTTCAAATTTTACTCATTAGGTTGTTACTATTTTTCCTTTTCTTCCATTTTGTAAATTTCATATAACAATAGAGAAATAGTATTTTTTTTAATAAAAATACTAGTGTTTATTATTTTTTTAACTGTTAAATTTAATTAAAATTATATTAAATTAAATAAATATATAAAATAAATAAATTTTGGTGCAAATTTAATAATTAAAAAGTGCAGAATTCCGGTATTCTCCGGAAGAAGTCCCAATTTCTTAAATACCTATTGAATTTACTAAGTCAAACGGTTTGAATACGAACGTCAATTTCGATTTTCTTTTTTTTTTCTTCTAATGCCGGAGTTTTTCCTTGAATAAATATGGTCATGGTGTATGATTTGGACAATGTTAAAAAGGGACAAAATTGGGTACAAATTGACGTTCAAGAAAGTTATATTTTTATGTGACAAAAGGATACACCATTTGTTCGATTGGCAAGAAGGTGTACCCCTTAATTTTTTTTTCTCCTTTGTCTTTTTTTTTTTTTTAATGGTTACCATTGTTTTCTCAGCTGTGAAAATGAGCTTAATTTTTTTTTTTTTTTCCTTTTGGTGAATGTGAAAATAATTGACAGTAACACCATTCGGATTTGGGAGTCAGGAAATACCAAATAGGATTTTATGTGAATGGCGTTAAAAACAATGCCAGGCAGAACAGGAAAAATAATGTTTGCAAAAGGTACGTTTTTCCTCATATTGTCGTGTAAAGTTTGGTTGGATTTTTTCTTTTTTCTTTTTTCTTTTTTCCTTTTTTTTTTAAATAAAGGTTTTTTTTTTTTTTTTTTTTTGTGTAAAATGAAGTTTGGTTGGAATTGGATTAGTTATACGCTTTCCTTACTAAAATTGTTGTTTATCAGGTGATTGACACAATATTACTTCTTACGAGTCCGTTCGGTTCGCTAATTCGAGTTGAGATGTAATGTTGTGTGAGAGCTTTTTACTGTAACGAAAAAGTTAAATGTGACTGTTTCTGAAAGCTTTTTAATGTAACAAAACTCGAATTCTAAACTCGAATCAGCAAAAAGAACGGAGCCTTAAAACTGTTAAAAAAATAAAAAATTGTAGAGTAATTTGTAGAGAAAATGAAGCATCATAATACGAAATAGTTTAAGGACTAACACCGCTAATAATTTTAAAATGTATTGTCGGGGTACAAACTTAAGAGCACTTTTTATATAAATTCTTAAAATAGTAAAGTAAAATGACAGCTTGGGTTCATCATTCATGTGATTTATTAGAAAGTGCCACATTCTTTATATGGAATTTGTACGTAAAATTAACTTTATATTTGTAAGTCTAAAAAAAGTCCAAAGGACTCTTAACACATGTTACACTTGCATATTTTTTTTCCTTTTGATTTGATAATACGTGCATCTTATGGTTGACTAGTGGTTTGCCTACCACTGAGGCAACTACCTACCCAGGAGACTGAGAGAGTAATATTTAATGGAACAAATAAAATAATGTTGAATTCGCTGGACAGTATTGACCATCACGTGTTGACTGATCTGATATATATATATATATATATATATATTCTAAAAAAAAGGAAAGGCAACAAAAAAAAAAATGCAACATAATCATCTAATCGGATATGGATAGAAGTAATGGATGTTTTTACAGCAATTCAATTCATTAGTCATTCAACTGTTCAGAGTTTCCTTTAGAATTTTCAGGATTTGATGTATGGAAAAAATAAATAAGTAAGTTTTTTTTTTTAAATACAAGACAGAATCTTATTTGGATCTCCAGGAAAGCTGGGATGAAATATTCAAGCTTGTACACTTCTTCTTAGGTAATTATGGTTAAAATTGCTGATATTAATGTAAGTCCTCGTTTTACCTTAAAAAAAAAAAAAAAAAACAACTACAACGAAACGATATCCAAGCAAAAAAGTATGTTGACTGGAAAATTCTCTATTTGAAAAAATAATAACATCTAGATCGAGAGAGGACATTGTAAGGAATTAGTAATAATTCAACTTAAAATGGGCGACCCAAAAAAGGGTGTAGCAGTAGCTCGATTTCAATAGCTCACATGTTTTGGAGCCACAATTTTTTTATATTAAAAAAAAAAAAAAAAAAAAATCTCTCACATTTTCTTGCTCCAATATGATTTGACAAAAAGAATATCCTTTTATTCCAAAAAAAAAAAAAAAATAGAAGTAGCTATATATTTTTTTAATTAGGAAGTAGATGTTGATTCTAAAGCAAAAACTTTATTTAGTAAGAAAAGTCTTTTGTTTAAGGAAGTTGGTTATTATTTGACGTAAGCTTTTTATTTTACGTATAATTTCAGACACCTTAAATAATTAAATTTGATAGGATATCCAGTATTTAGCTGCAACATGCAAAATTTTGCATTCACAACATAAGTGAGGGAAAAGGGGAAAAAATAAAATAAAATAATAAAATTATTGCCAATTTAACCAGCTAATCAATGAAAGATCTCATCATCTAATGGGTCTTGATCACCTGTGCTCCATTGGACGGGCGGCCACGCGCTGTGCAATAACAAACAAAATTACGTTTTTATTCATTTTTAAACAAATGGGTATTAAATTTAATGAAGTCAGATGTAAGATGCAATATTTTGATATATAGTTTGAAAGAAGGGATTCTTATAGTATTATTGACATGTCCAAAAACCAATGCTATTCATAAAATACATTTTTAGCGCTGAAAACATTAACTAATATATGGTTTGTACATAAATATTGATACATCTATATATATATGTATAAAATATATATAAATATACACGTATATCTTTATGTACAAAAATATATATACATATATCTTGATGTAACAATGACAATCTTTTAATAAAATAATGAATAATAAAATATAACTTGGTTAAAGAAATCTGATATTGGGTTACTTCAAACTTTTCATTTAAAAAAAAAAAGAAAAGAAAAGGTCAATTATTTTGACAAGTTTTCTTCAGATATTTAGGCCTCGTTCATTTCGCGGATTCGAATTTTTAATTCGAGCTGAGATGTGACATTTTCTGAGAGTTTTTCACTGTAGCAGAAAAAGTTAGATGTGACATTTTCTGAGAGTTTTTTACTGTAAAAATCTAAAACTGAAAACTCAAATCGGTGAAATGAACGATGACTAATTGATGCTTCAATGAAGCCCACTATTTGTTTTAAATAGATGAAGCCCACCCCCAATAGACCTTTATTCGTGATCTTTAAATTATTAATATAATTGATTCTTATTATTATTGTTTATAAGAAATCATGATAGCAAATTGGCAAGAAAAAAAAAATCAAGCACCAACTTCTGAGTGGATTTTAGCCCCAAGTCAACTTCGTCACCTTGAACGGATTCAAAGTCCACATTTCCTTTCCCTTTGAAAAATAAAATACGTATATGTGCATATACAACTAGCTGAAGCACACAATAAATCAAAGTTGGCGTGTTCAAAGGCGAGAGAAGCATGATTATCATCTAGCAATGGGAATGGTTGTTTCAAGGCCGAAAGAAATAATGAACAGTATCAAAATTATCATTTAGACGTTTCTATAGTCTAGAGCATGTGTCTTACCTAGAGATGTCAAAATGGGTCAGGCTTTATAGACCGGCAGAGCCAGACACGTTAAAAAGTAAGTACGGTATGACATGACACGATTATAAAATGGGTTAGGCTTGACGTAACTTTTAGATATGAAAACACGTTAATGCACGATATACTAAGAGCACGGCACGAGCACGTTAAAAGCACCATATGGCCCAATTAATGAAGATGAAGTATAAAATTAATTTTATTAATATATTTTACATGTTATAAAAATATTTGTTTTATTAAGAAGTTTTTTTATCAAGATTTTATCCTAATGGTTTTGCTTAGTAAAATTTTTAATGAGGTTATTTTTTTTAATTAATGATATGTTTTCTTTTGTTAAGACTTTAATATTTTCATTATGTTAAAAGCTTATTTCCTTTTATTAAAAAAAAGCTTATTTTTTTTGTATTTGTTGTAAATATGCTATTTGATACGACAGAGGCATGTTAAGAGCACGATAAAAACACGAGCATAACATAAACACGTTAAGGACACAATTCAAATATAAATAGGTCGTAGGTTGAGATTGACACTATAAAAATTAAATAGGTCAAGCCCGGCACGATAAATAAATTGGTTGGTTTAAAAGCTACATAAGGCACGTTTGGGCCTAATTTAAACAGATCAAACTGGGTTGGGCCACGATTGACATCTTTAGTCTTACCGTTGACACACATTATAATGTTACGTAATTTACGAGGGTATGAACTCTAAGCATATTTATTGTTGTTCTACATGTAGGGCTGGCAATTGAGACAGGCTGGCCTGAAGCCCAACTTAGTTGGCCCAAATCCAGCCTATACAAATACTCGGGCCCACTTAAATCCCCAAGGCTTAGGTTGGGATGAGAATCTAGGCCCAAAAATTCTATAGCTCCTATTTGTAGTTGGCCCAAATCCAGCCTATATAAAGACTCGGGCCCACTATGTATCATATTTTTGAAACTAAAGTAAATAATATATTTTAACATTATTTGAAATAAATAGTCATTTATATAGCAGTAAATGATTCATTTAGGGCTATTAAAAATATTTATTCACGTAAATTTTTATTTAGACTTATAAAAATAATTTTTTTCATGTAAATAAGCTTTTTTAAAAAAAATTTTAGGATAAAATTATTTTAATAACTTATAGTATATTTAAAAAAGCTCTTAATATCTCATGTTTAATAATATTAAAACGGTACTTCAGCTTTTTAAAATCAATTTATTAGTACCTTCACTTGAATGTGGGACATGAATCACGAAGACGTTTGGTTGATAAATTCAGAATTATTTTTAATTTATGTGTATTTTTTATAAGAGAAAATACTATAATAAATTATAAATTATGATCTGAAATATGACACGAATCCTCCGACCCTGAGGATAAATCTCATCACTATCTCATAAGTATTTGTATAAAAATACTAAACGGCTCCGCCGTGGCTCCTCAGACACATGGGGTGGCCTCATGCCCCTATTGAATCCGCGTGGGCCCACCCCACGTGTCTGAGGTGGAGCCGTAGACTTACCCTTTTTTAGTGTAAGTTTTGATCTACGGAGCTAAAAGCCCAAAGCTTGAACAAGTCCAACAAGAAGCCTGCCGCTGCAGCCTGGTAGTTATGCCGCGGGAGAAGAGTCCCGGTTTGAAGATCCTCTGGCTCTGGACCATTGGCACAGCCGCCAGTAATCTCTCTCTCTCTCTCTCTCTCCAATCATTTAGAAAAAAACATCCATTGTCTTACGAATGATTGTTTGCTTTGCAGTTCTGGTCACGAGCGTGGTGAAGACGCGGCTGAGAGACATGGAGACCCTCATGAACACCGAGCAACAACAAAACCGCCAAGAAGACCAAAACTTTCCTAACGAATCGCTCCTCGTTGATTCCCAAGTCATTCGAGAAGACAAGTCATAGGTTTGAGGTCCTTTCTTGTTATGGTTTTTGGCTGTTGGGTTTTGGAGAAGTGTCCACAACGTGTTTGATGAATGTCGTGAATGAAACTCTTTTGCTTTTTTTTCGAGTTTTCTGGAGACTTTTGCGGCACGAATGGTCTAATAATTTGAGTAATCTAAGTGGGCAGATTGAGAAAAAAAGGTTGTTGTTTTGAGTGCTGAGTTTCCTCACCTCAATTGCAATGAATTGCCTAATGGTACATTTACTTGGAAAGCTTGAACCATGGAGACCGAAATTGGGTTCTCTGATAATCTGAATTCTTGCATTACAAACTATGATGATTTCCTTGTTTTTTTTCCAACTCAAATTCTTTTGCTACTTTCGACATAGTATTTTCTCTCACAAATATTTTCAAATTCAACTTTTTTGCTGCAGTGTATTTTCTCACATAAAAAAGTTTAAGTTGATTTGAATTGTGAAAAGAACACACCCTTAATTTATGATTTGGGTGGCGGAAGTTTCAAGTCATCCAATTTAAAATGCAGTTGCAGGAAGAGATAGCAAAAATTTGAGAAACTTTTGGAAATGTTTTGGTTGATTTTGGAAACGCTTTCTCACGTTCGGTAGCATTTTGGAAACTTTTTCTTGCAATTCCCGAGGTGTTTCAGTTGAAAATGGTTTTGAAATTGCCTCCACGGCTACATGTGGAACAAATTTTTCATAATCTTTTTTCCATTTTTCCTTTTGCACATATTTGAGAGTTGCTTCTTTGTGTTGAGATGTGTTTATTGCATTTGCTGTTACCTGTTTTATTTCTACTCCAAGAATTTGTCATCCTTCTCTCTCAGAATAAGGAAAATGGTATGATAAAATAATCAGGAGAATCTGGTAATATCATCAGAAGCCTTTACTATCTCATTGGAGAGCACTTATGTTCATGGCTGTTTGTGAATTTCAGCTCTTACTGGACCTATTCGAGCTAAAATCTTTCAATTCTAATGCTTTTTTTGACCTCATGAAAATATTTCATCCATGTACACGTATACACACAATCCTCCTTTAATCTTTGATGTAAAAGCTTAGAAAGCCAAAAATCATACATCATTACAAAATTCCCTAGGCAAAGAAAGGGTGCAGAAGATTCCTACCAGATTTCTTTATTGTTGAGACGTGTTGCAGAAACTTTTCACCTGCCACAACCATGTTTTGCCAAGCATTGGATAAATCACTGTTCTTTTTCAACAAGGCTGTGTGAGGGCGAACAGTTTTCCACCCGAACAAAATAAAAAATTTATAAAGGTGATCGTTTCCTTTTACTTTAGCTTATTCAAGTACATTAAGATTTTAGAGGATAGAGGATGATGATTCGGACCACTAAAACAAGAGTAATGCTACAGGGCACCTAAACACCATCATCTAATTGAAGGTGGCTCCCGCAATATGGGGGTGGAGGTCATCTTTTATTAGACGGTAGTGCTTAGCACATATGGTGGCTCTGTTTGGTAAGAAGGAAAGAAAATAGGAAGGAAAGTAAAATTATAATGCATAAAAAATTAGAAGGATATAAAAGATTTTGATTTTCCCTTGACTTGTTTGGTATGATAGGGAAGAAAGAAAATGAATCTACCTTCTCTTGTTTGGTATTGGAAGTGAAACTAAAGGGATGGAAAAATTATTATTGGTGTAATTACTTTTTTGCCTAAATATTTTTTATTAATATTCTTTTCTAATAAAAATATAAATAATACAGTATTATTCAACATCAAATTAACTCGAAAAATTCATGTAACTTGAACATATATTCCATCTATATTATACACACACATATACATACATATATAAAGATACAAAAAACATAATTTAACCATATGATTTCAAGTCTTCATTGTTGTACATCACCTTCAAGAGCAAGTCATTAACATACAACGTTGATATTAGACAAGCAAAAGCAAAAAAAAAAAAAAAAAAAAAAAGGACGAGCAAATTGTAAAAAAAAAAGAGAGAGAGAGAACGAAATAAGAAGAAGCAAGGTAGTGAGAGATTTATTAACATACAACGTTGATATTAGACAAAAAAAAAAGACGAGTAAATTGTAAAAAAAAAAAAAAAAAAAAAGAGAGAGAGAGAGAGAGAGAGAACGAAACAAGAAGAAGCAAGGCATTGAGAGATTCATTTTCCTTCTTAAAATCCTCCCACTTTTGGAGAGATTAAATATGGTGGGACTCACCCATTACATTTTTCTTTCAATTTTCTTTTCCTTCTCAATTTCCTTTCTACCAAACAAGTTAATTTACCAATTTTCATCCTAAAATCCCTCCAACATTTTCTTTCCTTCCACTTTTCATTCATACCAAACATAGTTTAGTGTTTTTCCTAAAATAAGGTGCCGAATGACCATAAAATGGAAAAAGATGCAAGGGAAAACACTTTTTTTTTTTGTTTTTTTGTGGTGGGATCTCTATTTAGGGACAATTATCTTTGACTGAAATCACCATGGCTATAACAAAATTGATAACTCTATGTATAAAAAAGAAATCCTATCTAAGACTATAGTTTGAACCATCCAGCGTGTGTGTTAGTTCCACATATTTTTAAACATATTTAAAAACGTGCAACTATCATTAATAATACCTTACTGTAGAAAGCTCCTTATAAGTTGTGAAGAATTTAGAATTCTCTAACTTTAGTACTTTACCATCATATATGCCATGCATTTTCAAACAATTAGATGATGATTGTCCGCATGAATTTTGAGCGTTGAAAAATTTTCTCGTTGAATTCCACTTGATAAAAAATAGTTTAAATTTTGATTGATTTGCTCATCTTGCACTCCACGGCAAAGAAATTGACGGTAATAGTGGCATAATAAACTTTCCATTGAAGAATCTCTAAGAGCCCGTTTGGTTTGAAGATTTGTTATCTGATTCGAATTATGATTTATGATTCGTTATAATATTTTCTCTCATAAAAAAACACACGTAAATTAAAAATAATTATAATATCATAATTCTAATCCATGAATCAAACGGGCTATAAAAGAAAAAAACTTTGCATTGAGAAATGAGATACCACATTATTTTTAACTAAGCAAGCTTCAGAATTACGACCAACGCGTTTTTCATAAAAACGACAGAAAAATTTTTAAGTAAAAGAAGACCTGTCGTCTACTCATTTAAACGACTGGAAACTTTCAAATCTGACAAAAAAAATTTGTTTCTTTCATTTTGAAAAATAAAAAATAAAAAATAAAATAAGCAACATAAATAAACGACAATTCCTGTTGTAACTAAAACGATAGCATGCCATTTTCTTCCTTTCCTCATCATAAGCAACATAAAATAAACGACAGTCCATGTTGTAACTAAAACGACAGCATGCCGTTTTCAAGAAAATATGCAACAAACGACATGTCGTTTCGTTAACCGACATCAAACCTACAAAAGCAAATATCACGTCGTTTTGAAATCGAAAAAAAAAAAAAAAAAGTTTTTTCATTTCTTTCTAGCAGTAAAATAGTAGAAATGATATTTTCGTCCCCGAATAAATAGCGAGCGTGGAAACGCACCCACCGAAAACTCTCTCATTTTGTTTTCTTTCTTCCTCTTCTCACTCCGTCTAATCTCAAGGCGCTCAAGCTCTCACTCTCAGACTCACCGCTTCTCCGATCCCACTTCGTCTTGGTTTATGAGGTTATAATCTCTCTTTTCTCCATCTCTTTTCCGGATCCTTCAATTTCTATGCCCTTTTGCTTTCCTCTTTTCTGTATTTTGTCGCAGATCTGCGTCTTCTTTACGAATCTGGTTATTTCTGATCTTTTGTGAACTTATCTTAGGGTTTCTAATTTAGTGGGTTCGTATGAATTTCTGTGGTGTGTATTGTTTGATTCGAGTCATTTCGTGGAATCACTCGATCTTATGTGGGGTTTTTGGTGGAATTGAGATTGTATGATTCGAATTAATTATTATTTGGTATTTTTGGGAATAAGAAAGTCATATTTAGTGGTCATTTCCTGGTTTTTTCTTTTGCGATCTATCTATATATTAACTGTGTGTGACTTTCGATCTAAAAGGAATCCATTTCTTGAGGTTTTTCTTTTCTTTTCCTGGGTCTCTTTTCTCTTGAATTGTTCTCCGATTTTTAGGCACTATTTTCTTTAATTTCTTGAAGCTTTTAACCGGGCTAATCTACTTTAGCGGAAAACTTTGTTGATTTTATGGGTTTTCTTGGTTCTTGGGATGTTATCAAGCTATTTTTTAAGTTTCTTTTATTGAAAACTTTAGATCAAATTGGGCTTCACTGTTGAGTTTTCATTGATTGACTTTATATTTATTTTTTCACTGAATCTTTGCTTTTTCACGCGCAGCTCGAAGGAGAGACCCACTCTCGGGTAAGTCTTAAAACTTCTTGGAATATGCTCTTCGTACTTTTTGGAGTAGCATGTATTTGTGAATAAAAATATAAAATACACACAAGTAGCATCAACACCACCTCCATTTGTGTTGTTGTTGTTGTTGTTGTTACTGCTGTTCCCGAAGTATAACCTCAAATCTCCCGTTGCGCATACTTAATTTTTTCTTCCTGTGCGTCTAATATACAGTGGCACGCGGATTAAGACCCGCAAACGGAACATTGCAGCGCCGCTGGACCCTGCAGCTTTTGCGGATGCAGTGGTCCAGATTTATTTGGATAATGCTGGTGATTTGGTAAGTTTATCTTGTATGTGCATTATAAAATTAGCGTGTCTTCATAAGTCTGAATTTTATGTAATTCACTTGTCTTTTCTTTTGTGCAGGAAGCTGTTGCCAAGAGCTTTGAGTCTTCAGACCTTAACTTCTCAAGATACGGCGACACCTTTTTTGAGGCAAGTTTCTTTGTTTCATTTTTTATATCTTTTGTTAGGTTCCATCTGTTTAGCATCGTTTTGGAGTAATGGTGATTATATGTTCCAACTCTATGAGCTGGATATAGGAATCAAATTCTTTTTACAGATATATCCATGTGATTGTGGCAAAAAAAAAAAAGAAGCAAAAAATCATTCCCTTAGCTTGTTTACTTTCTGAATGCATTTTAATGAAACTGTGAAGTTTTACTCTTTGTGCAACTACAGGTTATTTTCACTGGGGGCCGTACACAACCTGGAACAACAAAACCTGATGAGGGGGAGCGCCATCCCTACTCTATACTAGATTATGAGCCTAAACGTGAAGTTATCTTACCATCTGTGATCTACATACAGAAAATTCTTAGGCGGAGGCCATTCCTCATAAAAAATCTTGAAAATGTCATGCGAAAATTCCTCCAGTCTCTTGAGCTTTTTGAGGAGAATGACAGGAAGAAGCTGGCAATTTTCACAGCACTTGCATTCTCACAGAAGCTATCGGGTCTTCCTCCGGAGACTGTGTTCCAGCCATTGCTTAAGGATAATCTTGTTGGCAAAGGGCTAGTCCTTCCATTTATAACAGACTTTTTCAAGGAGTATCTGGTTGATAATAGCCTTGATGATTTGATTTCAATTCTGAAGCGGGGTAAAGTGGAGGACAGTCTTCTGGAATTCTTCCCATCTGCAAAGCGATCTGCTGAAGGTTTCTCTGAACATTTCACGTGAGTCTTTGCTATCTGACTGTTATAATTAATTTTTGTTGCAGATGATTTCCTAGACTTGATTGTGATATTAGTTTATTCATTTTGTAAAGATTGTGGAGTCATATTCTGCATACTGTATATTTACTCTGATTACGTTTGTGGTATACTAAATATCTGCACGCTTTTAATGTTTTATGTTACTAACGAGTATAAGAAAAAAAAAATTGGTTACGGTAAGAGGTGTTAGTTTTTCATTTTTTTTTTATAAAAGGTGTTGGGTACACTCCCCAAGGGGTAGCTTAAGTGGGCTCAGGACCTCACCTTACAGCGGGAGGTCTTGGGTTCGATTCCCCTTGGGGTACCTCCCTCAGTTTGTCCCCGTGTGTTCGGATAGGAGGGTCTACACATACTCTTAGGGATTAGTCAGGTGCACAGAGGCATGGAAAAAAAAAAGTGTTAGTTACCATAAGAAGTTTTTCATTAAGGGCATGTTTACTTCACATGAAGGGAAAGGGAAAGGGAGGACTGTTTCCCTTTCCCATCTAACCTATTCATGTGTTTACTTACAAAATCAAGAACGTGTAATTGAGTGAGTCCCGCATTACGTAGGGAATGCCGAGA